TACCAGTCAAAAGTTTGGACACACCTTCTCATTCAATGGTTTTTCTTTATTTTAATTTTTGTCTTCAATATTAATCTGCAATGTAGACAAAAATAAAAATAAAGAAAAACCATTGAATAAGAAGGTGTGTCCAAACATTTGACTAGTACTGCATATTATCAGGCTACGCTGACACATGATTTTGAGCAATTCTGAGGACTCAGCGGGTCGTTTCATTATTCATTGTGTGTTTTATTGTGTTTTTTGGGACATGAAGAGGATTTCAACAAATGAAGTGTTTTTATTGAGCTAACACTAACGATAGATCGGAAATGTGTCACATTTTCTGCCGACACTAGAAACTAAAACAAAAGTCAGAAACCATATCATATTATCTTTCTGTCCTTTTCAATTCTATTCTATAAAATAATGTAATTTCTAGAAACCTGACAGGGCAAGCCCTCTCTTCCTCTGTGCAACTTCTTCTGTCTCACTCGTCCTGGTTCCTAGTCTGTACCTGTCTGTGTGTGTCACCATCACATGGTGGAATGATTATATCCACAGAGCATTGTGAAGGTGAGGAGTGCTCACTCTGCAGCTAAAAAACAAGGGCTCTTGAGAAATTGCAGTTGATTCTTGGTCTGGGATTGAATGATAATTTGAAGCTTAACTATCTGGAGGCAGGCCGAAACTATGTACATATACATGCATTTATAAATAACAACATAATCAGCTTCTCTCACGGCATAATTGCTAAAATCTTTCCAATCAGGCCAGAATAAATTCAATTAATACAATTTTTGTAGAATATCCCTCAAATTTTATACTTTAGAAAACAAAATCCAAACATTTAATTTAGGGTTAAGTTTTAGATCAAGGGGCTTTAGACTGACTTATAGACAGGATCAGAGGTTGTGGTCAAAGTTTCAGTGATGGAAAAGTTTTGTGGTTTTCTTAAGGTGGGTGAACTGCTGACCTTCAACAGTCGGGTGAATAAAACAATATTTGGCCAACTTTAACTAAACTTTGTTACTGCATCACAGGGAAAAACATCACTCATCCTTTGTAGTAACAATCTTTGCAACCTCTTGAAGAACTCATGCAGAGATATCTGAGACTACAACATCATCATAGCTGAGATTTTTGTTTATCACATGCCGTGCCACCCAAGACGTTACGTTTCCTGCCATACAAGTTGGGTTTTGACGTTTATGCTTTATTTTTTCATTCCATGTATTCAATTCAATCACAATGTACAATTTATATTCCCATCAAACTGAATGTAATTTACTGCGACTCAGCAGAACAGACAGTGTTGCTGCACTCTGTCCTAAAGTTGAACGCTTTTGACAGGAAAGCATCCATCTGCGGTAACATTAAAAATGTTTATGCATAATCTTAAATATTATTTTCAAAAGACTTTGTATCAAGTCCTTCACTAATCCTTATGTACAGCATAACCTTGCCAATGCACTGATGATCCAACATATACAACTATTAAGAAAAACTATTGTTGAATAGTTCTAAGTATAATTTGTATAAAACTGCACGGGTGACATGATTGATTAAATCTCTGAATGGAGATGTGTGGAGGTGTGTGTGTGTGTGTGTGTG